GCAAAATAATATTTAGCAGAATGTCATAGTCAACAATGAAAACACATTTTATATTAAACACCAACTAAAAATAATTTCAAGTTTGTAATACTTCTTGACAATCAACAAGTACTTTTTTTCAAGACACTATAGATGGGTGTTTTTCACCTTGCCAATAGCCAGAAATACTAAACATATTATTTTCACTTAATTTTGGACAACGATTTTTTTCCTTTTTCCTAATTGAGCACAATTAATTCATAGTTTCATATCTTTTTCTTCATACGTGCAACATAAAATGCCACTTATGTGAAAATACAGAATTTCAGCACTTGAAGATGAAGTACTGAACAGTCCATCAGTGGGTATCTGCAATTATTCCATCGCCCTCTATAGTTGACTTACCTGAATCCTGAGATCGCCTTTTGTATAATCGTTTCATCTAGACTCTTATCAAAGACAAATGATATTGCAGCCACCATGGGTCCCCAAGTCAGCATGAAAAGATCCTGATCAAAGCAACCGCTTGGTACATGCATAAACTGCCCATCACCCGTAGTACCACGCTTCAATAAAACCCTCCATAGGTACATCTCTTTGACTAAACCTGTTTGCTCTGCAGGCATCACAATCTCATCCGTTCTGTAAGTGAAGAACAATTCATTTCAAAACTTTGAGTGCTAATGGTGCAACATTTTCTCTGTTTTTACGCATTTTTTCATAATTTTAACCAAATGGACATAACTTCCTAATGGCTACAAGTCCTAATCAAAAATTTTTAAAAAAAATTATGAAAAAAATTACAAAAGTTGACTTTGTCACTCAAAGGGTTTATTTGGATGCATAAACACAAAATTTAAATCATTTCAGATGAGCACAAGTTGCCAATTCATAGATTTGAGAAGAGCAGGAGTTATTCATCATGCAGAAATTCACTACAATTTGCGGAGAAAATACAGAAGACAGATGTTCTTTTTTTTGCCAAAATTGGAAAGGCACTCGTCTTGCTCATCTAATACCACACGTTTGGTTTTCAAGGCAGACTGTATTCTTAATTCACAGTCATGTAAGTGGTCAGAAATTAAACTCACTCTTTCTTTATATGAAGCGAATACTAAACACTATACTAATGTACATTAACCTTTTTACCACCAATTCCCTCTTTTCATCACAAATTCACAAAATAGTTCTGTTTATAGTCTGCACTTTCCTTCAGAATATTAGGACAAAAATGGCTGAATTTTTTGAAAGAAAACTAAAAATTGACTCCAATTTTGTCTGTTGGCTCCAAAATAAAGTTCAATTCCAGAAATATTGAAGAATACAAGAAAACAGAGCAGAATAATTTAGGTGAGAAAGTCTGGTGGTGAAAAGGTTAACAGAAATGAAAGAACTTACTTAATGGCATTGAAAATTTCATCTAACATATCCGACTCAAAGTCTTGACCTCCATTAACCTTGGCTAGATTTCTCTTGAATTCCTGTCATCAAATTCAAACACATATTCACATAAACTCTGACTGTGATAATAATAATGTAATACTGACTATACTTGAAACTCCACCAGAATCTGACATCAATCAACCAATGACATAACTTGGTTCATACTCGAAACGTGTTAAAGATTTAAATATAAGCTTAAATATAAAATTTTAGTACCAGTAGATAAAATTTACATACCTCTACTGTCATTGGTATATTTTGTTTCTTTGCATTATAATTATGCTGGTCAACATTCAACATTATTATAGCATATGCTAAAGTAAAGGCAGCATCTGTATGGGCGAACGGTTGGTTGTTCAGACTCTGTATTCAAACGAGAAAACAACGACATTAAATATGTA